TCTAGATTGACCTAAACATTTGTCATAATATATTAATAAATTAAGCACGAAAATCCAGCTTGGGCTCTGTAGCTTGTTGTTAATAATTTATTTGAATAATTTGAGCCAATATTATATTTTTAATTTTATTATATTTACATTTTTTTCTTCTATATACGTACAAAGTTTTATTGAGATCATTTTTTGGTTTGGGAAGTCTCTTAATAAGTGAGAAATAATAAATAATTGAATATTATAATAAAATAATTATGAATAAAATAGAAGAATTAGTTGAATAAAGCATTAATAAAATAAAAGTAAAATAAATTTTAGCAAGTACATTAATAAGGATTCTGATTATTATTAGTAAGAATACAGATTGCTATAATTCTGGTACTTATTACATATTTTTCTACTTTATTAAGTAATAGAAAATTTAGACTATCAAATACATTTGATGTTTATTATTATTAGGAACAAATAAAAAAAAGGAAATAAGGAATAAATTAACCGAACTTAACAGTAAATTGGTATATCGAATAAAAAAAGTCATAATACATTTATTTTAAAATGCCATCTTATTAATATTAATTTGTCAATTTTGCACTGCATTTGTTACAGCCAATTAATCACACAATACTTTTAAAATCAGTAATTACTATAAATCTAATATAATATATAATCATTTTTATATAACATGTCGGGCATTATATCCACAGAAATTATAATATCAAATTCAAATTACATAAAACAAATTACATAAAACACGTAAAATAATGGAAATACCTAAATATAAGAACATTATAAAATAAAATAAGAGGCAATTATTGGAAATGTTAGTTAATGAATAGTTATCAAATTAGACATGAAGAAATTATTGAAATGTTATTAAATTACACATGGAAGACATTGTTTGTTAAATCGATTTACGTTATAAACACAAATATTTGAATATATTTGTGTAATAATTATATTAAAAATAATATGGACTTCTATATACATCTTTATTATTTTTTATGTATATAAAAGTAATAGAAAATGTAATCAAAATATAGTAATAAATAAGATATATATATTTTGATCGATAAACATTGCATTATTACTAACTTTATTACAGCAAGCATTAATATATATATATAGCAACTATATATATAGTGTATATATATAATAAATAATATGCTAATTACACATGTCATATATGTATGTATATGACAATTTCTTCGGATGCTGCAATTGCAGCATCCGAAGAAATTTTTATACTCTTGTATACAAGAGTATAAAAATTTTTACTTGTAATTAATGTCAAAAACGATTTGTAAATTTTTACTTGCAATCAGTGCCAAGAACGATTTTATAGGATAAAATCTTAATAGATTCAAAAATTTTTTATTTTTTTCTATATATCTCATAAATTATTTGAAAGATCGAAAAATGTATCATATGAAAGTTTTATTATTAAAACATTTCTATCTATTACGACCAGTAACATTTTTAAAAATTATTTTTTTGCTGTAAATTGTTTTATATCATTATTTATTATTAAAATTTTGGCATTGCACAAAATATATAGAAGACAATGAACTTTTCTGTATACGCGGATATATAATACAGAATAATATTAAGATTGAATTTTTACGGGATGAGACCGCAACAATGCGATGCGCAAAGTCCTGTAAGGATGAGCGATTTGTGTTTACTGAGGAGAGGAAAGATTCACAGAGAGGAAAACCAGAGAGTCGCTTTTTTTCGACTATGTTGCGTTCTCGGGTTTTCTCCGTTGTCAGATATATTCCGGAGGTAAACATTCTGCATATTGTTCGAGTATTAAAGACAGGGATCTTGCGGGCTCGATTGCCAATGGTTTCCACCTCTTTTTGAGCTCCTCCAGCTTCTTTGTGCTTCAGTTTGTAAAGGCGATCCGCCGGAGGAACGTATTTATGAGAGCAACCTTTCAAAAAGTTACGCGATTTATTTCGCACCGATTTGCACTGCGCAATTCTTTCCCTCTTCGACGTGTTAATTGTAATTCTCCGTTCGATAGTTTACGTGCTTCCATTCTAATAAATCCTTATTCTCCGCGCGTAATATATCGATTTCGCATTTGTAATGAGCTCACCGATTGCCAATCTGCTTCAGTTTCTTCAACCGGTAATGCAACTACACCC